TTCATCCCAAGTCAGCAAATACTCCCCATCTTCGCTCATTTGTCCCCACACAAAACGATTTTAAAAAATAATAATTTATTGTGTTATAAAAAAACCATTTAGATTTTTTATCAAGTTAATAGCATTACGATTTTTATTCACCATCAAACATTTTGATTTTATATATTATTAAGGGAAAAATAAAGCATCTCCATTCTAACAACTTTAAAGTGATATTTCTTTAGTCTTTGAATACAATTAATTAGTACTGCTCATCTCATAAATATGCATTTAATCTTTACGATGAGGTTAAAATGTAAATAAATTATCATTGATAAAGCATAATCTTATTCCCCACTGTTCTACTGTTATCTTTTAAATTACATTCCATTTTTCATCTTATTATGACTGTTCTATTATTAAGATTAATTTATCTTCTCCACTTGAAATTACTCTTGTCTATGAGTCATTTAAACTTAATCCTAATACCTAATCAGTATGATCTATAACTGTATTTGAACATAACCATTCATTCTACTTAACCCAAAATTTAATTGTCTTATCATAACTTCCTGATATGATAAGATCTTCATTAATATTCAATATTAAACATTTTATCCATTTAGTATGTTCAATTAATTTCTATGAGCAAATCCATTAACTATTTTGACTCATTGACCATATTATAATTTAGGAATCATCACTCCCTGATATAAAGTTAGTAGACTTCTTCATGAAGTTTAATGTAGCAATATACCCCTAATGTTCATTTATAAGTTGAGTTTGTTTCAAAAATTCTTATTTGAATTCAAATACTTTGATCTAACTATTACATCCAGCTACTACAATTGAATTATCTTTATTAAAGGCTATTGCTCTACAAATTTCATTTTATTTAATTGATCTCCCATTTATTAATTTATAATTGAATGGCTCATTATTTTATTTAATATCATTATTATTAATTATCTCCTATAAATTTTCCTAATCTTCTAAATTTTCCCTTTATTATTATTTAACTTATTATTCAAGTTAATCTAATTTTTTTTTTTTTTTAATTTCTTTCTTAATGGTTGGCTTGATATTTTGCTTACCTTCTCGATTTACGTTAATTAATAATTTTTTTTATTGATGGGTTTACTAGGAGATCATGTTTTTTACAAATAGAAGACTAATGGCATACTATTTGAATAAGTTACTTGCACTCTTTATTAATTTGCTTAGGATCTTCTTCAACTTGATTAAGGAATTTAGACGCCATGGATCGAGTCTTCATTTAAATAATTATTAAGATATTTTTTTAAGTTTTTATATTTATATTAAAATTAATTGATAATGATAATAAATATTCTATTGATATTGAGTATTAAATATTATAATTAAGAATTATGAATTACATAAATTGATACTTAATGAGATAATGTAGATTTCTCTTGTATGTTTGACTTTTTAGATGGAGATT